ATTCACACCTAGTGACAATTTGGATTATCCAATTAACCTATCCCCACAAGCTGCATGTCTTTGGACAGTGGGAGGAAGCCGGAGTACCCGGAGGGAACCCACGCAAACACGGGGAGAACATGCAAACTCCACACAGAAAGACCCCGGCCTGATGTTGGAATTGAACTCAGGACCTTCTTGCTGTGCGGCAACAGTGCTAACCACCGTGCCACCGTGCATGCACACTTAAAAAGTAAAATTGGGCTGGGTACGCATGAGCCAAGTGAGGAAACACTATCACAGGGAGCCGTCTGCACCGGAAGCCGGTCACAGACCGCAGCCTCCAGGCTAGGCACACAGCAGGAGGGAGGCAAAGAAGCCCCCAGAAAGGCTGAGAGGACCCCCAGAGCCCCAGCAGCCACGGTCGATCACAGCCCCGGTGCAGAGAGCGCCCTCCGAGGAAACACTGGAGATATGACACAATAGGATATATACAGGATAAAAAGATAAAATAAATAAGAATGGGATACAATATAAATATAAATATGAATAGAGTAAGAAGATTAAAAAATAAATAAGAATAAAATCAATAAATATTAGGTAAAACCTAAATAAATAAATAGAATAACAGGATAGAATAAATAAGCATAAAATAAATAAACGTTAAGTAAAAGCTAAATTAAAAAGGTGGGTCTTGAGCCTGTTCTTAAAAACATGTACGTTCTCTGCGGCCCTGAGCTCCTCTGGCAGGCTGTTCCACAGACGAGGACCTTTGCAGCTTTTCAGTGGTGGCCCACTGAAAAGCTGCCTCTCCGTGAGTATGTGTCCTGACTTTAGGGACAATCAAAAGGCCAGTACCAGAGGACCTCAGGGTCTGCGAGGGTTCATATGGTAAAAGCAGATCTGAGAGATAAGAAGGTCCAAGACCAGTAAGACATTTAAAAAAAAATAAAAGAACTTTAAAATCCTGAAACACACGGGGAGCCAATGCAGCGATTCTAAAACCGGTGTAATGTGGGCCTGCCCTCTGGTCTTCGTCAGCACACGAGCTGCAGAGTTTTGTAAAAGTTGTAAAGTTGAAATATTATTTTTAGGAAGACCAGAGAGCAGGGCATTACAGTAATCAATGCGACTGGTAATAAAAGCATTCATCAACATCTCCGTGTTGGCCCGAGAGAGAATAGGGTGGTCTCTGGCTATATTTTTTAGATGATAAAATCCAATTTTGGTTACATGTTTAATATGTGGGATAAAACCAAGCTCAGAGTCAAAAATAACACCCAGGTTTTTCACTTGTAGCGATATCATAAGGTATAGTAAGGTATAGAAAGGTATAGTAATCATCCACAACTATTTTCAGTTGCAGAAAATAAAGGATTCAGAAAGTTTAATAATGCAGGCCTAAATGACAGAGAATATGCATCTTCTTTTTGTTTTCACATTTAAATGTATATTTAATTGTGTTGTGGTTTGCAGGGTTTTGTGTTGTTTCACTTTAAATTTGTTTAAAAGGAAAAAGCTGAAAATTTAAATAGTTAAAAGTTGAAATGTGAATAGTTGGTTTTTGTATTATATGATTTATTTATTACATTTTATGTGGAGTGAATGAATAAAAGTATATTTACGGTGACTGCTAGAGACAAAGCATGTACAAACTCCAAAACACGTACAAACTCCAAAACACGTACAAACTCCGAAGCACGTACAAACCCTGAAGCACGTACAAACTCCAAAACACGTAAAAACACAATAGAAGTGCTCCAGCATGCTAGGCGCAGTGTTGGGCTTTTGTTACCTAGTGGCTACACAAGTCAGGAAGTACCAACAACCGGATTTGGTGTGTGGTAGTAACTTTACAGCACCACTATTCATTCACGCTCACATTCGCACACTGGTGGAGGCATGCTACAGCTGCCCTGGGGCAGACTGACAGAAGCAAGGCTACTATATCGCGCCATCGGCCCCTCTGGCCAATACCAGTAGGTGGGAGGTGAAGTGTCTTGCCCAAGGATACAACGACCGGGACTGTTCGAACCGGGGCTCGAAGCGGCAACCTTCCGATCATAAGACAAACTGCCAACTCTTGAGCCACGATCGCCCTTTGATTTGAATATATATGAGTGCTTGTGTATAAATACACAAACAGTACACATATGCTTTCAATTGTGTAATTTAAGTGATCTAGGTAGCTCTGTTTCGGAAGTTCAGTTAACGCTAGAAATGTGCTTTGGAATTTGTACGTGCTTTTTGGAGTTTCTATGTGCTTTGTCTTTAGGGACCACCTCATATATTTATATAAATAAAACCACTTTGTTTTTACATTATTAATTCCTTTTGTGAATAATTTTGTATTATTGTTAATAATAAATAAATCAACAAAACAACCTGAAGAGCCAGTTGGGAGCTGAAAGAGCTGGCTCTTTTTAGTGAGCCGAGCCGAAAGAGAGGAAATCTCGTCACTAGAATGTAATTAGGAAGGTGGTGGCCCAGATCGGGTGTGCCAGAGGTAATCCACACATGGGCCAGCACAGGACCACCAGCCTTTCTGCAACCGGCCTTGTGCTCGCCCATGTGTGGGCCGCTGCTGGCAAACCAGATCTGGTCCACCAAAGGGCCGTCATTCTTTGTGGTATGTGGGCCATGTGTAAGCACATTGTGTGGGCCAGATCTGGGCCATACCAATTTTGCTATGTGGGAATGGGGTGAAATAGAACTATAAGATCATTAAGATCTTTATCCTGTCTTCCCTTCCTCTGCTGAATTGTAGCGTAAGCAAATCACTCAGGACTCACTCACCCCCTCCTTCCTGTGCTGAACCATAGCGCGAACGAATCACTCAGGACTCACTCATCCCTTCCCTTCCCGTGCTGAATCATAGCGCGAACGAATCACTCAGGACTCACTCACCCCTCCCTTCCTGTGATGAATCATAGCGCAAACAAATCCCTCATGCGCTCACCCCCTCCCTCCTGGTTTACAGCTTCTTCTTCGTCTTGTTTGGCAACCAATGTTAAGGCACATTACCCCTGGCTCACAGCTCAGTGGACATTTAGATGAGAAAATATATATTTGACACATTTAGGGAAAATCCTAATAAAATAAAAATAAACAAAATAAATGTTCCCTTTAGAAATGTTTTTTGCTCTTTTTTTTCTCTATAAAATAGTTGTTTTCTTTTAGAATTCATCTTAGCAGTAGGATATACATAAAATAGTTGTTTTCTTTTAGAATCACTCATCTTAGCAGTAGGATATACATGAAAAGAGAAGCAAATTAAGTTTGAGTGAAAATGTACATTTTTTGCATTCTCTGGTCAACTGACTCAGTGACGCAAATGACTCAAAAAACCCGATTCACTTTGGTGAGTGACTTATTAAAACTCGATTCAGTAAAATGAATCAAAATTACCATCACTAGTAAGAATTATTTTGAATTATCGTAGCTATTTAAATTGGGAAAATGACAAAGAGCACTGTAAGCCTTTGCCAGCAGTTCAGACATATCAGTCAGACAGACAGATTTTCTTGTAAAAGGTGCAACATATGAAAAACATATTTTTCTTTTCTTTTTTTAGACTGAGTATTCCTGATCTCTCAGAGAGAGGCTGTGAAGCTCTGTCCTTGGTTCTCACCTGCCAGTCCTCAAGTCTGAGAGAACTAGACCTGAGTTTCAATGACCTGCAAGCTTCAGGAGTGAAGCTTCTCTCTGCTGCAGTGGAGAGTCCATGGTGTACACTGGAAATGCTTAGGTAAGTTTAAGTAATATTCAGAACTCTTTAAGAATAAACACAGTCAATTAAAATTCTAAGAAAATCAAGGTAATCTTTTTTGATTTATTGTTGTATTTGAATATTTTTCATTGTTAGTGTGACAAATTTACAGCATGTTGCAACATCTCTTGTCTGTATGACAAAAAAGACTCTTAAATATCTTCTTTTTCACAGACTGCATCTCTGTAACCTCTCAGAGAGAAGCGATGAAGCTCTGTCCTCAATTCTCAGCTCCCAATCTTCCAGTCTGAGAGAGCTGGACCTGAGTAACAACAACTTGCATGATTCAGCAGTAAAGCTACTGACTGCTGGATTTAGGGCTCCACACTGTAAAGTGAATACTTTGAGGTCAGATCAAAGGATATTGTGTTATTTATCAGTTGGCAGATTTAACCAATAAGAATATACTATGCTACTAACAGATACCTTAGATGGGCAGCAATGAAATAACACCCAAAGCAGGAGAAGATTTTCTGGTGCCCCCCCCCC